AACCCACGGAAACGCTTGCTAAGCAGGCTATGGACGCACAAAATATCATTAAAATTTTAATTTTTTGCATCATCAGATTTTGAGTAAAATCAGTGCAGCTTGGCAGTGGACTGTTTGTCGGAGGGTGGGGTTATTTGCTGCAGACCAAAAGGTTGACAGTCCTTTAGCAGTATTCTCGGACGACAGATCCCCACCCACTGCCCCTAACGTTTCTCCTCATGACATCTGGATAAAGTTCCTTGCACGAAGGTTTGAGGTGATCAAATACTACAGCCGTGATCAGGTAGGTTGATATTGACAACGTCATTTGATGTTGTCTTTTGTACTGAGAATTAATAATCCTGCGGGATACATCTGGGTGATAAACGAACTTAGCTCACAACAATTGAATATATGCTTTATTAATATCAATTAATGTTATTCTTCAGCTGAAATATTTGACAAGGGAAATTAGTTGCTGTTGTTTTTTTTTTGTTGTTGTTGTTTTTATTTTCAAAAACCCCTCCTCAAAATACCTGGTTTTGGTTTCAAAGCAAATCTTTGCCATAGACCCAAATCACCACTTACTGCACATGAATTACCATCTATTGTCATTTCATTTTTACTTAACAAAAATGGATATGATAAATGGTAGCGAAACCCAGAAATCTCTAATAATCTTCATAATACCTCTTCAACTGAGTTCTTGGTAGGTTTAAATGTTAATTTGCTAATCAAATCATGATTTACTGTACATGAAGTAACATCTATCCTCATCTATTTTCAGCCTCGTTCCCAGGTTCTCTCTCCTAACCGTCAAGAGACCCAGCTCTCTCTCTCGCGCGCGCGCTCCGTAGGGACGAGTAGGAGAAAACCAGGGAACTTAAAAACAAATAGCTGTGATGAATAGCAGGGAAACTCTGAAATCTCCAAAAAGCTTTAGAATAACTCTTCAACTTTGTTCTTGGTAGGTGGAAATATTTGCTACAATGCTTCAGCGATGCCTTCCATTGTGTGTAGGAAAGAAGAACTGTTTGTCTTGGCATATCACCACTCTCAGAGCAAGGTTTAGGTTACTTCATCTTGGACTGTCCATGCTGCAGGGAGACTTCTTAACAAATTCTGTCATGAAAAATGTCCTCCGTGAAAGAATTTACCTCAATGCGATGGACTATTTCAGGTACCTTTGTCCTGGTTTTAATTCTTTCACTCAACAAGAATGAGTGCCTACATATCAAAATTTTGTTTTGTTTAATGCTAATAGTTTGAATGGTCACACCACAGGATATCATTCACAGACTCAAAACTTAGAACTACATGCGTATAAAATTGATAATACCATGTGAGAGTACTACTGAAGACGTGTTAGGTGAATAGTTACATCATAGGATTTCATCCACAGACTCAAAAATTAAAACTACATGCTTATAAATATTAGCATGTGAAAGTACTACTGAAGACGTTTCAGTTAAATGGTAACACCATAGGATTTCATCCACAGACTCAAAACTTCAAACTACGTGCTTATAAATATTAGCATGTGAAAGTACTACTGAAGACGTTTCAGTTAAATGGCAACACCATAGGATTTCATCCACAGACTCAAAACTTCAAACTACATGCTTATAAATAGTACTATGTGAAAGTACTTTGGAAAAGTTTCGTTGAATGAATACACTATAGGTTTTCACAGGATAGAGGGATCATTTAGGAGCAGGCAGAGCTTCTGTTCCCAGCCTTCCCTCCCAGTCAGTGCTTTCTAGCAAATGTTGTCTTTAACGTGCTAAATGAGTAGAAATGGGTGTGTTGATTTGCTGTTATTATGTCAGTATTGAACCCATGTGGCCTGTGAGCAAGGACGTACAGCTCAGGGAAGATGTTCAAGTGTTGATAAAATTCTGGCAAGCCATGCACTCAGATAAGAAATACATGAAGTACTTCATGGTTTCATCACCTGTAGACACCGCCGGTCAGCTTCTGCCACACACTTCCTCAAGCAGTTCCCAGTACACCAGTGGATCATCCGGCTTAGGGCCATATTTACAGGTATGCTGAGGGCGGGCCTCATTTGAACATACAATTTATTGCCCTTACTGCAAGTACATTGGGCCTTATCCAAAGGCACTTTTCGGAGCTCTAACCAAGTGTGTTTTAGGTCCTTTTCCACGGCTGCTTTCAAATACCTTATCTAAAGGTACATTGTAAGGCGTTAACTGCTGGTACTTGAGGGTACATTGTAAGTTGTTGCCTGTTGGTACTTTGCGTACTTGCTCCCCGGGGACAACTTTAAAGGTGCTCTTTACAGCTGTGTGTTAGAACCTCATCTGTAGGCGTATTTAGTACACAAATGGGAGCCATGTTTTGTTAGCTTTTTTTTTGCCCTTATCTTACACAACGTACAGCAGTATTCCAATGGTGTTGGTCTTGTGAACCAGAAGAAATACTCCCGTCAAGTTATTTATTGACAGCGCATGGAGGTTGTGCGCAGGCAGGGCGCCTCCAGCATAAACTGCAGCAATTTTTTTTTTTAACTTTTGCTCTTTGTTGACTTGGTTAACCAAGTCTTCTTTACTAACGCTTGCGTTAACATTTATGTTGCTGAGTTTTTGCATTTGCTTCAGATTTTACCCATTTTTTTGTTTGCTAATGATGCTAATATAATAGTTGCTTTTGTTTGCTAATCCACTAATGACGCGTTCCTTAACAACATTATCGCAGGTGTCTACCTCAAGGCGTAGCTCCGTCGGCCTTTTTACTGGAGAAATGGTAAAGAAATACGATGTAACTGAACTGGTGACATCCATAACCTCTGTGTTTCTTCCCCTGGGGGACTGAGCGATAGCAACATAAGGAACATGTACCAATCATGAGAAAGCCCCTGCAATTTAGGGCCCAAATAAGAACGGGCCGCAAGGGAGGAGGATGCACCTGAGGATAGAGAAAGCTACCTCTCTCCTTGTGCGTGTGTCTCTCGCGCGCTCACCGTTTATATCGTGCCCTATATTTCTCACGCGCCTGTCATTCAGGCTAGTAGTGCCTTGATTGCAGGGCGGGAGGTTG